ACTCAAGGCTCAAATAGCATAAAAACTTAAGGATTTTTTATTCTAATGCCAACTTACAAAATATAATTCTAGATTTCATTTACATTACATAAATGTAACTGTTCAAACTGCGTAATAATGAAGCAAAAGTTTTATAGAAATTCAAATGAAATTCACCTATTCAATTTCACAGAACACAGAACCCGGGCTCAATCACCACTGATTCCAATGAAATTATTAGTTGTGATTTTAAATGCTCATATTACCACGAGCTTGGTCGTAAAAGAGTCAAAATGTGGAAGCCTGCATGTCTGAGAAATTAAATGTTTCGAAGACATGTTAAGTTCATCAAAATACACTGGATCAGTGCAGTGAACTAATTGCTCCATAACCCATCCAGAAATGGGAGACGGTCTAGAATTCTCTTCACTTTTTTATAGAAGAGTAATTGCGGAATAAGAGAATCTATCACTGAGAGAAGTCACTAGAGTTATAAAAAGATATCTTGGGTTCCAAAAGATAGTGGCGTAACTATTTCGATTACGCCAGATTTAAAAAAAACACAGATCAGTGACGGGGCGGGAGTAAGCAGCGTCAAAGATGCGAGGCTTCGATCGTAAATCTCTTTCGGAGATCGTAAGTCTCCTTCGCTGTCAGAGAGGCTCAAGTTCAAAAGTGGACGAAAAAGTAAGAGGAAAGAAGACAAATTCAAGTAGTTACAAATTCAGTTTGATATTTTCTAGATATATTGGTGGATATCAATGAAAAGAGGAATCGAAAATTTATATTTAATATTTTCACTTAAATTACTAAGGCATAAAATTAAAATCAATCGAGGGTATACTGCCCTTCATAATTAAATAACAATACCGTTAAGTAATTACTTTGTTTATCCAGTTCATTCAATTACTCCTTAGAAAGATACCGGCCATAAATAAACTACACAATTTGTGAAAACAGTAATGCCGGTAGGAAAGTAAACGTTATATCTGACCTCTCGGTTAGCCTGTAACTTAATTTAAGTTCATTTTGAGCCTTCATTTTTCGAGCAAAATTTTATCGTATTTTTAATAAACGATACAAACGAGAATAAATTGAGTTTATATGAAATTTTTTCTCTATATAATAAATAAATGATCGAAGTTAGAATGGCTCTCCAGCACCTAGGAAACGAAAGGCCCCAAGCGAGGATGGAATTATAGCGGAAGTTCTGAAAGCGGGTAGAAAACCGGTACTTGAAGTCTTTCAGATGCTCATTAATTCCGTCCTCCATAGTGACACTACACCGGAGGCGTGGAACAGAAGTGTGGTGGTTTTGTTCTTCAAGAAAGGCGACAGCGCTCTCTTGAAGAACTACAGGCCTATTTTCTTCTGAGCCGCGCCTACGTGCGGTTTTCGAGAGTCATTACGAATCGTCTCGCATGCAGGCTCGATGACTTCCAGCCTCCCGAACAAGCCGGTTTCCGAAAATGCTTTAGCGCCATAGAGCAAATACAAACCGTTAGGAAAATTGTACATAAATCCGATGAGTACAATTTGTCACTATGTCTGGCGTATGTGGACTGTTAGAAAGCCATTGATTCCGTCGAAATTTAAGCAGTCACTTCAGCGTTGCCAAGTTGACTGTCGGTATATCGAAGTGCTGAAGTGCTTGTACAGTAGGGCTACGATGGTTATCCGAGCACAGGACCAGAGCACAAAACCTATCCATCGGCAGAGAGGTATAAGACAATGTAAAACAGAGGTGTGACGTTGTGAGTACATCACTCACCTTCGATTTGCCACCGATATATTCCTTATGGCAGAATCGCTGGAGGACCTGAACACTATGCTCAATGACCTCAATAGTGCCTCCTAACGGATAGGTCTTAAGATGAACATGGACAAAACAAAGATTATGCATAACATCCATGTCATAACTATGCCGGTAGTTGTTGGGACCACTAAGCTCGAAGTTGTTGACAAGTATGTTTACATGGGACAAATAGTCCAACTAGGTAAGTACAACTTCCACCAAGAGGTCAATCGCCGGATTGAAATCGATTGGGCAAGTTTCGGAAAATTACGGCATATCATTTCATCACGTATACCTCAAAACTTGAAAACAAGATTGTACAACCAGTACAGTCAGTACTGGTTGTATTGTTGCCAGTGATGACCTATGGAACTGAGATGTGGTCCTTTACTGCTGGTCGGATGAAGAAGCTAAAGGTCGGTCAAAGAGCTTCTCGGAGTTTCTCTGTGTGATAACCTTAGAAATGAGGATACCCGCAGTAGAACTAGAGTGAACGACATAGCCCAACGGATTAGTAAGCTAAAGTGGCAATTGGCCGGCCATATAGCTCGAAGAACCAACCAAAGGTTCTCGATTGGCGGCCTCGTACCAGCGAACAAAGTGTAGGGCGTCCCTCACTAGATGTAGTGACAACCTGGTAAGACCTGCAGGAAGTTGGTGGATGCAGGTGGCTCAGGACCGTGCTTTGTGGCATACCTTGGGGAAGGGGTTTAGTCAGCAGTGTGCTTTTGAAGGGCTGTAGTGATGATAATGATGATGATGATAATAAATGAGGCGATATGATCTGCCCTCACAATTACTGTTTTGAGGATTGTTAGAATTTTTTTTTATATATCTGTATCAATTTACTGAAAATAGTATTGAAACTTAGTAAAATTGGTTTAGCGACGATATAATAATTTCTTCTCGAGATACATATGCCAGACGAAAAGTTTAATGATATATGAAAGTACGATGATGTTGTAATACTCTCTCAATTTTGTAGAGACGCGTACTGTGTGTAGCTACACATCTACATACATCTACAGTATGTTCTGGATGATTTCATATGTTTAAGAAATATTTTATATCTCAACTTTTATTTTTACAAGCAAATGGAATGTATGATCCACGCAATAGGTTGACTTATTATTTTGTGAGAGAATACCATGTCGATTTGATTTTTTTATGATTGATTGATTGATTAATTTAGTTCTTGTTATAACTTCTATATCGAATTTGTTTATTATATACTTTTGTAGGGGATCTCCTACATTTCACACAAACATACAATCATACAGTCACACACACACGCACATTTACACTATACACTCGTCCTATCCGTTGGTCGACGTTTCGTAGATTCGATCCCGTGCGGCATGGTCGATACAACACCATATATGGTAATTTCCTGAGGCAGAGGTTGCGGGCTCGCGGTGGGAGAGCACCGCCCCCATGATCAGTCGACCAGTCGCTTACGGGCTTCGACGCGGAGAGATCATCTCATTGTATCATAGACGTTTTAATAATTGTTTACGTGTGCCTATCTTTCTTAATTTATTGTTACATTTTGAGTTTCTCTTTACCACTGTACTTCTTCCTTCTTGTTTAGAACTCACGTTGCATTCTCCTTCTGTATATTTATTTCGGTGTGACTTTGTATTCGTGTATATTAAATAGAGTGTGTGTTAGTACAGGACTACCTTTTATTTGTACACCTGGTAGATACATATAACCACCACATTGGTGACCCCTCGTAGGACACAATGAGCAACGTGGAAAACAAAGACGTCGAAGATGAGAGAACATTTGAAGGTGACCTTACGCGGCGGCAGTGTTTGAATACCGTCCAAGCAGAAAATGTTATACCGCAAGAAATCATGAAAGTTGGAGTACGTGTTCCACCTTTTTGGCCTGACGAGCCCGAGATTTGGTTTGCGCAAGTGGAAGGTCAGTTCGCGATATCAGGAATTACTAGCGACTCGACCAAATTTAATTATGTTATAGGGCAACTAGACAACCAGTAGTCAGTGGAAGTTAAGGACATAATTATTAACCCACCAGCGATGAATAAATACGACAAGCTAAAAAGTGAGTTAGTCAAAAGATTGAGTGCGTCCAAGGAAAAAAAGCTCACTCAGTTACTGATGCATGAGGAAATGGGGGATAGAAAGCCGTCTCAGTTCCTCAGACACCTCAAAGGCCTCGCTGGCGTTCAAGTCTCCGAAGAGTTCATGAAAACTATGTGGATTAGCCGTCTACCAATTAGTATCCAAACTTTTCTGGCAGGTCAACCGTTTGCTTCGATTGATAATCTAGCCGACATTGCTGACAGAATCCATGACATTGTGCCCTCAGCATCCCAGATAGCGTCCACAAGCCAAGCTCATTTCGGTGGAACGAATGACATTGATCTTGCCAAAGAAGTCATCGCTCTCAGAAAACAAGTCGAAGCGCTTACACTTACCCAAAGGAACAGCAGATCACGATCACGCTCTAGACGTATTGTGCGAAAACACCGTTCTACGTCAAGATCTCAGTCCAGCTATAATAAATATCCTACTTGCTGGTATCACTTCAAGTACGGCAACAAAGCAGACAAATGCGTCCGACCATGCGATTTCAAGTCGAAAAACCCCAAGGGCAATCGGTAATGTCGACCGACGATTGCCCCACGTCTACTGGTCGCTTATTCATCACTGACCGCGCCGCGAAGACCCAGTTTTTGGTCGACACTGGAAGCGACCTCTGCGTCTTCCCACGGTCGCTGCTACGAGAACGTCGTGCCCGGACCACATATCAGCTAAGTGCAGCAAATGGTTCATGTATTAACACTTATGGTTATGTGTATTTAAATTTAGACTTTGGTTTACGTCGAATATTTTCGTGGCGTTTCGTAGTTGCAGATGTAACTAAGGCTATCATAGGTGTAGATTTTTTAAATCACTATAACATTATTGTAAATTGTCGAAATAAATGTATAGTTGATAATACCACGTGTGTAACAGCCACTGCCTCACGAGTTAAATTTAATAATATTTTATCAATAAAGATCTTAACTGAGGAGACAAAATACCATAAAATATTGGCAGAATTTCCCGAGATCACTCGACCAGCAGGTATGCACCGCACCACACCACACAACACTGTACACCATATCCGCACGACACCAGGTCCACCAGTATCTTGCACACCACGTCGCCTCGCTCCAAATAGACTTAAAATTGCTCGACAGGAATTTCAATCTATGCTCGATAACGGAATAGTCAGACCATCGGAAAGCCCGTGGTCTTCACCACTACATTTAGTCCCTAAAAAAGATAATGGCTGGCGTCCCTGCGGAGACTATAGAATGTTGAATGCCCGTACTATACCCGATAGGTATCCAATTAGGCATATTCAGGACTTCGCACACAGTATTTCAGGCTGTACCATCTTTAGTACACTTGACCTTGTCAGGGCCTATAACCAAATACCGGTCCATCCTGACGACATTCCAAAAACCGCAGTAACAACACCTTTCGGCCTGTTTGAATTTGCTTTCATGAATTACGGTTTGAAAAACGCGAGCCAAACGTTCCAGAGGTTCGTAGACGAAATGACTCGGGAGTTAGACTTTTGTTATTGCTACTTAGATGATTTTCTAATATTTTCAAAGGACGAGGCTCAACATGAAGTACATTTACGTAAAATATTTAGCATACTTAAGGGATATGGCATGTTAATAAACACGTCTAAGTGCGTTTTCGGTGCCCGAGAAATATCTTTTTTAGGATATAGCATCTCGGTGTCAGGCACCAAACCACTTGACTCGAAAATCGAAGCCATTAAAAAATTTCCATTGCCTACTGACGTACGTCAGCTACGACGTTTCTTAGGCATGATCAATTTTTACAGGCGCTTCTTGCCACGTATGGCAGAAAAGCAAGCGCCACTTAACAATTTATTAAAAGGCGTGCTGAAAAATAAACAGCCAATCATTTTATCAGGCGAATCTTTAAAGGCTTTCGAAGCCTGCAAAGAAAGTCTTTCTGACGCTGCATTGTTAGCGCATCCCGATTGCCAGGCAAAATTCGCTCTTGTCACAGACGCTTCGGACAAGGCAATAGGAGCTGTATTACAACAGCTGAAAGACGACGCATGGCAGCCCTTAGCTTTTTTCTCACGCAAACTTAGCACGTCTCAAAAAAAATATTCACCTTATGACAGGGAGCTTCTGGCAATATATGAGGCAATCAAATATTTTCGCCACATGCTGGAAGCTAGAAATTTTATAGTGTACACTGACCATAAGCCGATCAGTTTCGCATTTCACGAACGAAAAAGAAACTGTTCTCCTAGGCAGTACAGACACTTGGATTATATATCTCAATTCACCACAGACATCCGACACATTTCTGGCAAGGACAATGTTGTTGCCGACACTTTGTCCCGGGTTGAAGTTTTGGAACCTCCGATAGACCTCGAAGCTTTAGCGAAAAGTCAGGTTTCTGATCCCGAGTTAGAAAAGCTTATCCGAGAAGGCTCTTCACTGCGTCTTGAAAAATTAACCATACCTGGAAGCCGTATTTCATTATACTGTGACGTCAGTACACGACTTCCAGGCCGTTCGTGACAAAGTTTTTTCGGAAGCAAGTATTTGATAGCTTACATTCCTTAAGTCACCCAGGCGCAAATGCTACTGCTAAATTAGTATCCGAGAGATTTGTTTGGCCGAACGTTAGGAAGAACTGTCGTGAATGGGCTAAAAGTTGCTTATCATGCCAACGATCCAAAGTAAGCCGACATGTTACAACCCCACTTGGCACATTTAAGCTACCTCGTGCACGTTTTAAACAGATCCATATAGATTTAGTCGGACCGTTACCACTATCGGAGGGCTACCGCTATTGTTTAACGTGTGTCGATCGTTTTACACGTTGGCCCGAAGTCGTCCCAATTACCAACATAACAGCAGAAACAGTCGCTAAGGCATTGCTGTCTTGTTGGATATCTCGATTCGGTTGCCCAACAGAAATAGTCACAGATCGCGGACGTCAGTTTGAGTCTGCGCTATTTCAACACCTAGCAAGAATAGCGGGATTTCAACACCGACGAACAACTGCTTACCACCCCGCATGTAACGGTCTAGTGGAGCGTTTTCATAGGCAACTGAAGGCGTCCATAATGTGCCACGCACGAGATAAGTGGACCGAGTCATTACCGTGGATATTGTTGGGCATACGCAGTTCGTTTAAGGAAGACTTACAGGCGTCTTCCGCCGAATTACTTTATGGCGAACCATTAAGGCTGCCTAGTGAATTCTTTGAGCCTCAAGACAACAGCGCAGCGGATATGACTGAGTTCATATCCCGCTTACGCAGTTTCGCACAAAAATTACACCCAGTGCCAGCATCTCGCCATAATAGTAATAAAGTTTTTATTTTTAAAGATCTCGCTAACAGTGAACACGTCTTCCTACGGGAGGATGCATCTCGTGGATCCCTCCAGCCCGCGTATAGTGGACCACACAAAGTGTTGGCTAGGTCAGACAAAACCTTCAATATATTAATTAATGGTAAATCATCCACAGTGTCTGTTGATCGACTTAAACCAGCCTATATATTGTGTGAAGCCCCAAATCAAGATCATGTACAAAACTATAATTTGAATGAATATATAACTCGTTCAGGACGTAGAGTGAGATTCACCGATTTTTATTGCCCTTAACCAGGTCTCTGGAGGGGGGTGATGTAGGGGATCTCCTACATTTCACACAAACATACAATCATACAGTCACACACACACGCACATTTACACTATACACTCGTCCTATCCGTTGGTCGACGTTTCGTAGATTCGATCCCGTGCGGCATCGTCGATACAACACCATATATGGTAATTTCCTGAGGCAGAGGTTGCGGGCTCGCGGTGGGAGAGCACCGCCCCCATGATCAGTCGACCAGTCGCTTACGGGCTTCGACGCGGAGAGATCATCTAATTGTATCATAGACGTTTTAATAATTGTTTACGTGTGCCTATCTTTCTTAATTTATTGTTACATTTTGAGTTTCTCTTTACCACTGTACTTCTTCCTTCTTGTTTAGAACTTACGTTGCATTCTCCTTTGGTATATTTATTTCGGTGTGACTTTGTATTCGTGTATATTAAATAGAGTGTGTGTTAGTACAGGACTACCTTTTATTTGTACACCTGGTAGATACATATAACCACCACACTTTTATTGTCTTATTTATGAGAATCATAACAATAAAATAGGGTGTTTATTCATTTCAATAGTCTGGCGAATCATCCTTGGAAGGAATCGGTGTTCTTTCTCTAGGATTTATGGTCTAGAAAATTGAATGTAATTTCGCGGACGATCATTTAGTTCGTTTACAGACTTCAGACTTCCTGGAGCGTCGCTCCTTCATATCGACGGGTCCTACCTAAACTAATCCAAGCACAAATACACAGCTTTATAGAAGAACTGTTTAAAGATTCAAATACTTTTATGGAAATGTTTGAAAATTTGAAATGTTACACCTAATTATTTAGGGAAAAAGATGGCATCATTAATTTTCAATATTTTTTTTTTATAATTTGAAAAATAATGTCAATTCTTACAAGTACCCACTTGTACCAGTATATGATGCACTATTTCTTCGCAAATTAAGGAAAAACGAAAGGAAAAAACCATATTTTATATGCATGTGCACATTACTGGATTAATATTTAGCGCCTATAATTAAAAAAAAAATAAGTCCTAAAATCTTTTTGTTATTATGTATCACTTTTTACACACTTTTTTCTCTTTTCTTGGAAATTTGGTAATTGTTTCATTGTTTTTTTGTTTACTCTTCCCATTAAACTAAGAGTTTCTAAACTTCTGCTCGAATCAAAGTATAATTATGTAACTAGCCAAATATTTTATTATTTCTTTAGCAACCTGCTCCTATCTTTTTATTTTTAATGTTACTTCGTACACTGGGTGGATTACTCGAATATGTAATTATGAAATTTGGATTTCAATGTGATAGGTTATTAAGGTAGTTCGCGCCAAGCGCTAATGTCAAGAATCGACGCCAGATGACACTCGGCTCGGCGCGATACCGGTTGAAGTTCGGCCGAGCGTGGCAAGGGCGCGCGGGTCGCGAGCGAAAAAGAAAAGTCGTTTGCCAGCTGTGCTTGGGACAGCACGCCTTCATTTTTTTGTTCGGGGATGCGGAATTGTGCACGCGCGCGTCGAGTAGATATACGGTCTAGGGTTCGAACCGCGCATTCCTTGTTCGAGAGCTTCTCTTCTCCGGTTGTTCATCAGGAAATCATTATAATCGTGTCGTCGCGTTAAGTGCCCTTTTTTGTGTGTGTTGGCTTGATAGTTTACGCGACAACGAGGCGTATTTTGAATCTTTTCGCGACGTGGTTTTTGGTGTCGAATGAAGGAACTTAGTTGTGTTTAACTGAGTAGTATGACTCATTAATAGATCGCTTTAATTCCCTCTTTATAATTTGTGATAAGTGAATCCGGGACATTGAATGTTGAACTTTGAACTACTGTCCGTTACTGTGTATCACGTGTTCGATTCTACGATGAATGTGGAATTAGGCGAGTTTTAGTTAGTTAAATGTACAATGAAGTTAATGGACTGTCATCGTGACGAACGAAAAAAGTGACTGTGGACGGCGCCGCGGAAGGTTACCTCAATTTGGAGCGGTGCTGACGTGAAAGGGATCCCTCCCCCGACCAGTCGGGGGTAATTCCCCCAGGGGCGGGGGTATCATCACCCCCCCTCAGCGTGTGGAGAGGAACTTCACGGCCACTCATCAGTTCGCTAGACCCTTCTCACTCCCGTTAACTGAGTGGCCGCGACTGGTGTACCACTGTTCCCCATTTGATGGAGGCGGCCCTAACTAGCTGCCGCCTTAGCTCCTACCACAGCCGCCTCCACTGAGTCTTAAGCCATCAACAGTCCACTTGTCAAAATGTTCTGTTGCCGACGGCCTCAGTGAAGGCGCACAACCCGAGTGGCGACTGTTAGCGGTTTGCGCTCAATTGGTCTCGGGTTCACGCCGTGTGGCCTCCACTTGGTGGTGGGAAGATTATAGCCCCCCTGGAGCTTTGAATCACACTGTCAAGGGGTATTAGATTTGGTTTGGTCGAGCACTTAGTTAAATGTTCTTTAAATTAAAATTAAAAATGCTTTTGGGTTTTCCGCGAAATTTTCATATTTGTAGCGGTTGTGATTAAAAGAATTGAATTTAATCCTTCAATTCTTTTAATCACAACCTTTTGCATCCTTTTGAATGCTTGTGCGTATGGTTTGTAATTGTATTTGAATGTAGCGTCTGTTTGCTGAAAGGAAAGTTTGAATTCATTTGAAATTGAATGTCGCGCTATTTGGAAAATTGTGTATATGTTTTGTGATAGTGTTTAATCATTTTGCCGAAGCGAGTGGGAGTCGATTCTCCTTTGGTTTACATTTTGTTGGCATTGTCTAAGATATTTAAATGAGAAGTAGCGCTATCCCTTACGTTTATTGTTTTGTTTAATTTGCAAGTTGACCTATGTGCATCGGTGATTAATTTGTTTGAATTAATTCTATAGTTGGACATTGATGCTTTGAAAAATTAGTTGAAATATGAGCATAGGACTACTTGTCTAATATGCTGGCTAGTTTGTAGATTATCAGATGGAAATCAGCTGTCGCACCATTTGGTAAATGATTATATGGTGGATGGCTTGGCTATGCCTACTTGTTTGAAAATTCATACTAGGGAGTATCTGTGCGTTCGTTCGGCTCTCCACAGACGACGTTCATGGGGAATTTGGTGGTGCTCTCTGCACTGAAGCTTAGGAGGTCACTCTGGGCCGCTTCGTGTCGCGTCGCTGTTTGCAGACCTGATCCGGTCGGATTGGGGAACTAATCATAGCAGCACAGATAGGTGTTTGAAGGAGGTCGTCTTTTGTCTAGGAATAGGTCTTATTTATGGGCTGCGATGTCCAGGAAGGGCATCCAGTTCGACCCTCCAACTGGCCCGTTTTCTAGCGGACGTAAGTCCTTATGTCTGGGGCGGGGGTTTGTTCGCGCCAAGCGCTAATGTCAAGAATCGACGCCAGATGGCACTCGGCTCGGCGCGATACCGGTTGAAGTTCGGCCGAGCGTGGCAAGGGCGCGCGGGTCGCGAGTGAAAAAGAAAAGTCGTTTGCCAGCTGTGCTTGGGACAGCACGCCTTAATTTTTTTGTTCGGGGATGCAGAATTGTGCACGCGCGCTTCGAGTAGATATACGGTCTAGGGTTCGAACCGCGCATTCCTTGTTCGAGAGCTTCTCTTCTCCGGTTGTTCATCAGGAAATCATTATAATCGTGTCGTCGCGTTAAGTGCCCTTTTTTGTGTGTGTTGGCTTGTTAGTTTACGCGTCAACGAGGCGTATTTTGAATCTTTTCACGACGTGGTTTTTGGTGTCGAATGAAGGAACTTAGTTGTGTTTAACTGAGTAGTATGACTCATTAATAGATCGCTTTAATTCCCTCTTTATAATTTGTGATAAGTGAATCCGGGACATTGAATGTTGAACTTTGAACTACTGTCCGTTACTGTGTATCACGTGTTCGATTCTACGATGAATGTGGA